CCTCGTGTAGCTTTGCGCGAAATTCAAAACAAACAAACAAACATTTGTCAGAAGTTCAGAAAATATAATAAGAATTATTTCACTTTTAACTTTATAAACTTTATAAATTTATAAACTTATAGCAAACACAAACAAACAAACTTATGTATATCTTATCTTATTCTGTGTATTTTGTTATGTTTTTTCTTTATTTTGTTAATTGTATTTTAATTACTCTATTACTAAAAACAAAAGATACCTAACTTACCATTAGCCTCATCGTTGTTCTTCCTCTCTTTCGATTTAGTGGATAAGTATATCACGTTGAAATCTAAATAGTAAAATATGAAAAAAGAGGAACGCGCCAATCAGCATTAATGTCGAAGAACAACACCGCTGTTAATTTTGTTCGTCTTTTATATCTTGCTAAAGAGGTGGAGAAATGTGTTAATTCTCCTTCAAAAAACATCTTCTACCCATTGATTGTAGGGAATTAGGTCAAAAACTATACCGTATGTAGGTCATCCTCTTATTTCTTTTGTATTACTGCTTTGTTTTGTTTTATTTTACAATGACACAACCTCTAAACTCGCGCAAAGTAATAACTTGTTGCTTGTTCTATTATACCTAGCCTAAGATTCATGATACAAGATATTTATTATTTCTTAAGCACAACCTGCTTGGAAAAATGTATAAAGTCCGTCCAACTAACACCTTGGAAGTCCTTTTTATTACTGTTGTTTTTGTTTTATACTCTTAGAAAATACCAAAAAAATCAAAAGAAACCAAAACCCAGCTTACGTTTTTTTTTAATATTCAAAACATTCTATAGAGATATAAACCAAATTTTTTTATACTGTTTAGAGCAACTGTAAAGAAATTTGTTACCAAAGTAAAACAACTTTTTTTTAATATATATATGCAATGAAAAGTCTATAAAAGAACAAAGCTAGCTTTCAGCTTTGTATGAGGACCGAAACAGTATAGTAAAATCAGTAAGAAATATGCTTTTTTCGCAATAACAACGAAAGTAAGAAATAAGTGATTCTTTTGAGTTCTGAATACATATCAATTTAACCTAATTTTGTTAAAAGTTATCATTTTAAGTTAATTCATGAACAGCTTCAGTAAGCACAAGAAAAAAATCATGAAAAATTAAAAAGGTATAAAGAATCTGTTTTAGGAGAGTCACTAAATATTTCTCTTAGAGAAAGGGAGAAAGAAGATAAGGTATGAGAAGGTTAAAAGAAAAAAATTAATTGTGTTATATATTTTCCGGAACAGTAAAAAAAAGTTAAAGACTAAGTTAAATAGAAACATGAATATATTCACGTTAAAAATGCAGTCTGTTCAGTCTATGCTTTAATTGTTAATCTATAAATGAACGAAGGTTGTAAATGTGATAACATGTTTTGATAATAGAGTGTGCACCGTTTAAATTGGTAGTTTCCTGTCAATATCAAACCATCTACATAATAATTTCAATCATTTTTACTTCTAAATATCCTGTTATCAGTTAAACCAAAAGAGCGTTTTATTTGTAGATTAGGGTTCATTCACCATGTTCCTGCGTTTTTTAAATGTGTTTATGATCAAGGGAGAAATTAAAGAGGTCATGTAGAAGCTATGAAACTTCCTACTTACAGCAAAACCAAATGTATAAAACACGTTTAAGGAATAACAGGGGTGTCTCCTATGCACGGAAGTGTTTATGATTCATGCTCATGCACAAACATGAGACTTCATAAAATAGTTATAGACGGAAAAACAGGCAAATGAACCCTTAGAAATTCAGAGAAGACCAGGGCCACTAGGTCAGGGACCTGACATAGGGTGGGAAGAATGACACATGGATATAACTGTAGGAATAGATTAAAACGTCTCCAATAAATTACCTATATATATATATAATTTTAAATAGGTGGGTGTTATTATAAAGAAAGGTATGAAAAGTGAAATATTCTTAAATAGATGAAGATAAACAGACACTTTCGGTTCTATTAGAAACGCTAAGTAAACAGTATGTTTGACACGTAACCCGGGGGCATTTTCCACTGTAAGACATTCCTGTTCGGTATGATTAATACAGACATTGGTAAACGTCAGTAGAAATAACATCTATGATAACAACATGCATGCTACGAGTTTCTCGTGGTGGTTTTTGGAGAACTTCCTAAGGTCGGTATTGAATTGCGCCCTTTTCTTCTTTCTTTGAGACACACACACACACACACATTACACCAATACCAAAAAAAAAGCTGATCCAACACAGTTAAACAGCTATATATATTTTTAGTCTTAGCATAGTACCTGTAAAATGTTACAAGATTTAAATATTTCTGCAATATTCACGCCTGTATTTGCTTAATTGTTAAGCAAATACATTTAAGGTCCTACAAAACTTCAGTAAGTTTTAGTTAAACTCATTGTCATTAAAATATTTTAAACAAAGACGTTTAAGGTCCTATGGAACTTTCGTAAGTTTTATTTAACACTTTTTTATCACTTGCCTATTTTAAACAATGACGTTTAAAATCCTTCTAGAATTTAATAAAATTTAGTTAAACTCTTTTTTATTCCTAGAATATTTGAAAATACCTTCATTTGTCAGAGGCCCGGCATGGCCAGGTGGTTAGGGCGCTCGATTCGCAATCTGCGGGTCGCGGGTTTGAATCCCCGTCACACCAAACATGCTCGCTCCTTTCAGCCGTGGGGGCGTTATAATGTAA